GATGTACAGACTCTCAGGGCACACCTACATTACGTACAACCTCTCTGTGCAACACAGTGAGCACCATTAACTAGACAGGTTACTGCCAACTCATGAATCATTTAATAAAGCCACTCAGGCCTTCAACCGTACTCAGCAGAATTTTGTAATTTAACAATGAGCATCTAAAAACACTCCGGGAACAAGGCGGTAGCTCAAAATGAGAGAGCATATGCTTTGCATGTGGAGCCCTGGGTTTGATTCCCAGCACTGCATAATCCCCCAAACACAGGCAGGCGTGACCCCTAAGAACCAAACCAGGAGGAGCCCCTGAGAACTGGACAGGTGTGGCACCGTCTCAAATAAATAAATAAATAAATAAACAAACAAAGCTATGCTGATAATGATTTAATTATCAGAACTAAACTCTCTAGTTTAATTCCATTCAATTTACCTCCCAAAATAACAATCTTGAAATGAGCCATTTCTGGGGTTTCCAAACTAATGATTAGTAATTTTCCCCTGAAACTTCAGATGAAAAACATCCCTTTGAGCACAGTAAAACAAGTCATCTGACACATTTTTTTTAAGTATGTGAAAAGTAGTAAGAGTAGGGGTCAGAGAGATATTACAGGGGTTAAGGTGCTTGCCTTGAATGGAGCTGACACCAGTTCAATCTCTGGCACCGTATCTGGTGTGATCCCTATAGACAGTAAGCCCTGAGCACCCCCAGGTGTGGCGTCCTCACCCCCTTACCCCCCAAAAAAAGTTGCAAGATAAAGAATTCACTATGATTATGGATTTTAAATCTTTAGACGTAATGAAAGGCATATTGAGAGCAAATGCAGAATTTTTACAGAATTCTGATAAACTTTTTCACAGAAATTTCATTTTGAAAGTATATGTGTCCATGACAGACGACTGCCTTTTTAAATGTTTTAATACAAAACAGCTCATAGACTTGAAACAAAGGCTGCTTATGACCTATAATCTTCAGAAACAAGTTTCTCTGTTGTTGAGTGACTTTCTCCTAACCAAAAAAAAAACTTTCTACTTGTGCCTAGGGCGTAGGGCACTTGTCCCTTTCACAGACACTAGTCCCAAACACCCCACCACTGACTGCATGACTATGCAGGAGCCATGCTGAACTCTAGATAGTCTTATAGCTACGTGGTTACCTTATTAAATAAATGACTCTTCCTAAAAGCTACACTTTGTCTTTACCTACTACTTGTTTTTAAAATGCTACACAGGGGCTGGAGCGTTAGCACAATGGGTAGGGTGTTTGCCTTGCCCAACTCAGTAGTGTTCGATTCCCATTATCCCATATGGTTCCCCGAGCACGCCCAGAAGTAATTCCTGAGTACATGAGCCAGGAGTAGGAACCCCTGTGCATCGCCGGGTGTGACAAAGAGCAAAAAAATAAATAAAATAAAGTAAAATGCTGCACAACTTACAAAAAAAAATCACTTAAAAGCCAGGGTTATTTGCTTTCTCACACACTTTATGAATTTTGTTATGTTTTGGGTTTTTTTTTTTTCTGTATTTAGGACAGCCTAGTAACTCTTTGGGTTGATAAGAAGAGAAAACACAGAGTTTTGCAAAACAGAAGAATAGCATCACAGGAAAAAAAATTAATAATATGGCGAAGAAATCAAATGATGAGGAAACTGCTTCCCTTCTGTAATAGCCATAGCTACGACTCATCCCCTTTTCTTTTTCATCACTCACACACACACACACACACACACACACAAACACACACAAACACACACCATTTTTTTTCTTTTACTGCATTAAATTTAATTTTATACTTGGGTCTCATGGCAATAATCATGTCTTACCATGTCATGTCATTTATTAATGAAAATAATCATATCATTAATAAACTTTAAAAAATCTGTGCTAATATATTTTAGAGTTTACATGAAATAGGTAAGGCATACATAACACAATCATTTTAAAGGGGAAAGGGATGCTGGATATTTCAGAATTGTTCGACTACATTCTTTGCCCACATTTACCCTTTTGTTTGTTTGGTTGGTTTTTGTTTTGTTTTGTTTTTGGGTCACACCTGGCAATGCACAGGGGTTACTCTTGGTGGTACTCAGGGGACCATATGGGATGCTGGGAATCGAACCAGGGTCGGCCGCGTGCAAGGCAAAACGCCCTGCCCCTGCTATCTCTCCAGCCCCACATTTACCCTTTTGAATATAAGAAAAAAACATAACAAATATTTAAATTTTACTACGCACTTGACAGGTTAATGACTATGCATTTTACATGTGTTACATATTATCATGCCTCTCAATAAGACCATAGAAATTCACCAAGTTTAAAGAGGTTGCCTAAGGCCAAAGTCTTTGGTTTTCTCTCCTCTCCACTACAACTCAGCTAGAGTTTGTCCCACAATTTAGTCACTCATTGTGAAAACATTTATTGAGCGCCCATTACAAGCTAGAATTTGTACCACAGTTCAGTCACTCATTATGAAAACAATTATTGGGCTGGGCTGCAGAGATAGTATGTGGGTAGGGTGCTTGCCTTGCATGAGGCTGACCCGGATTCAATCCCAGGCATACCTTATGGTCCCCTGTGCACCTCCAAGATCCAGAATGGAGAACCAGGAGTAATCCCTAAGAATCACTGGGTATGGCCCAAAGCTAAAAACAACAGAAAACATTGGGCTCTTCCTATAAACTCGTTACTACTCTAGGCATTTAAAAAGACAACCGTGTTTAAGGTAAAGCAAGTCCTCTCACAAAAATCTACATTTTAGGGGCTGGAGCTATAGCACAGCGGTTAGGGTGTTTGCCTTACACGCGGCCAACCCGGGTTCAATTCCCAGCATCTCATATGGTCCCCCAAACACCGCCAGGAGTAATTCCTGAGTTCAAAGTCAGGAGTAATCCCAGAGTTCAAAGTCAGGAGTAATCCCAGGTGTGACCCCCCCAAAAAAAATCTACATTCTAGTTGAAAAGAGAGAAAATCGGTAAACCAAGACAGAATCTGAGTTAGCAACATTTACCCAAGATGACTTCTTTACTAGTCAATTCTTTTTTAAATATAGATGACGAGATTAAACCAGCGGATACAAATGCTAAACTGAGGAAGGAGGATAAAACCCACTATAGACAACTGTCAATTAGCATGCCATGCCATTGAATCTTGGACCAGATGAGAGAGAGAGACAAAAGCAGAGCTTTAATGCTAATCAGATTTTCTTTTCTTTCTTTACAAACTTTTTCCCATTTTTTAACTGTGGTCCCATGATTTACAATACTGTTTGATGATAGTTTCATGCATACGTGTTTCAATACCCACCATAAGAATGCCTACTTAACTCTACCCAAGTCCCAAAAATCCTCTCATCTTACCTACATACACACACACCCTAGGTCAGACAAACTGGTTCTCATGCCTTTGGTTGTTTGTTGTTTCCTTCCTGTGCTTATTTACAGGACACACAGGAGACCATTTTTTTTGATAGTGGACGAGGTGACAATTACACGTATCTAGGTAAATAATGCTAAATTGAAATTCTACATGACTGTAAATCAATGATAAATGGATAAAAAAAACTTTTCAAACAAAATATTTTTATAAAATAAAATGAGCGTGTGAGAATGTGCAACTCCAAAAAAAGTTGATTCTAAAATGCCATCTTTCCATTGTTCATGCAGTTACTGCTAGTTTGTGAAAATCAAAGAAGCCTTGTAATTTGGCATACGGACCCAAGGAGAGAACAGTTTCAACATCCACTTCATAAGGTCCCCTAGATTGTGCAGGGCTCATGATCTGGCCAAAGGCAGCCAGCTCTCATGGGATGGCCAATAGAGAAAGGAAAAAGTCAGGGACTAGAGTCACAAGTTAGACCAATAGTACAGCAGGAAGGGTGATTGCCTTGTGCATCAACACCAGGGTTCCATCTCCAGCACCCCCAAATGACCTGCCTGCCGAGCCCATTAGGAGAGATTCCTGAGCACAGAGCTAGAAGCTCTGAACACGACTTATTCCTGGCCAAACTATGGCTGGTGAGGAAATAAAGTGGGGGAGGGGGGCTTGAGGGGGTGCCTGGGGAATGACACTGCCATGAGCCTTCACAATCCTAACAGAAACTTCCTAACTCTCCAATGTGGAACCTATGCGACATTAACCCGTTTTATTTTAAGCCATCAAGTCTCAGTGTAACTTACCCTGCCTTCACCTATTTATATAAATGAGCTAATCCAGATGTTAGCTGTTGCTACAGCTGCCTCCCATGTAATCTCTATGTTGTATCATTTGAGTTGGCCCATGTCCCTAAAACTTGGTGAAAATTTGTGTATGTGTGAAATCGTTGGAACCCGTAAGGAAGGCTCTTCTGAGAGTGAGTGCTCCTTAAGTAAGAAGGAAAAGAGACATGAGCGAGCCAAACACGAACGCCTCATTCGCCAACCTCTACCTTCCTACCAAAGCGCTCCTTGAACTTCTCTATCCGCCTCTAGATCTTCCTAAATGGGAGAGGAGGCTGGTGGAAACCTCGTGCGGTTCCACCTTCCGTTTCCTCCCAGAACTGCCAGGAGCAGCGAAGCAGCTGAGATTCTCCAAGAAAAGCCTCACTCAGCCCCTTTCCAACACCTTTTTCTTGACTTCCAAGAGGAGCAACGATGCTCAGCCTTCGCTGCGCGACAGTCACCAGCCAAAGTTTGCAGCAAACTTTCCAGGGGACACCAATCCTCACCCCAAAACCCTTACCACTAGAGAGACTCATGTGTTCCACCTCGCCGCCTTCCTCCACCCCACCCCACCCCACCCCAAAAAAATAGAAAAAGAAAAAAAAATGTCAAGAGCTAAAAAACCTAGACGCGTCCACCTTCGGGGATTGGGGAAGAAATTCAAAATCTCTCCCCAGATTCCCGCCACCTCTCACCCCAACCCCGGAGCACTAAAGGACTCCGCCCGGGTCACCACGGCCCGGCTCCCCGCGCCACCCTGGGAGGCGGGGGGTGGTGGCGGAGGGTCTCCCAGGAAGCACACACCTGAGTTGGGTCGTCGGGGGGGGGAGAGGGAGCGGGAGCACCCAGTTCCTGAGGCCGGGGCGGAGTCTCTGCCTCCCCCGAATCCGAGCCGCGGCCGTGGTACTCGCTGCGCGGCGCGGGTGGATGTCACTCTGGGGCAGGCTGCGCGAGTGTAGCCCGACACGCCCGGCGCCGCCGCGCCCCCGCCTCCCGGGCCACTTCCTCTCCTCCCCCTCCTCCTCCTCCTTCTCCTCCTCCTCCTCCTCCTCCTCCCCCTCCTCCTCCTCCTCCTCCTCCTCCTCCGCCTCCTCCTCCCGCCGCTGCTGCTCCTCCGGGGTCCGCGAGGCCGCCTCCTGCAGCCTCCAGGCCGCGGCCCAGGCTGCTCCGGCCCGGAGACGCGGAAGTGGGTGGCGGGAGGTCCCCGGGGCCGAGAGGGGCTGCCTGGAGATCGAGGACTCCGCCGCCCCTCGGACGGGACCCCACGGGGACCCGGAGGTGCCCGGCTGCAGTTCCGCCCTCCCTGCTGCCCGCGCGCCTCTCCGGACCTGCTGCCAGCCTGGGGAGCCGCGGCGGGCCTAGGCCGAGCGCCGGACGCGTCCCTGCTCCTCGGCCCTTCCCCGAGCCCGGCCGGCCGCCCTCGCCACCTGCCCGGGCCAGGCGACACTCGCCCGCCCGCCCGCCTGCCAGCCAGCGGGCCAGTCTTACCTGATTTCGCGCTGCCCGCCCCCGAATCGCGCTCCCCCCGGGCTCAGCAGACAGGTTTCCCGGGGCCTGGAGACGCGTCTAAGAGGCGGGCGGACCCCTGGGACCCCGCCAGCGGAGCCCGAAGCCCTGGCGCCGAGCTCTCCCCTCCCCCCAGCGCGACTCTGCAGGCTCGCGGGGCCTCCTGACCCCCCGCCTGAATGTCAGCGCCCGCGGGAGGACCAAGCCCCAGCCCCAGGAGGTGGGATGCTGAGCAAGGGCTGCTCAGGCCCGGCCTCGAACGGGCGTGGGGGGCGGGGGGGAGAGGCGAGGCGGAGAACCCCAGCAGCTGAGCCACAGACTTCCCATGCACCCCCCCACCCCAAACCGACCCTGCCCACTGAGCATGCCCAGCTCACTTGTTGGACCCGCCAGTACTAGGCGAGTCTAAGTGGACCCCAAGAGGGTGCAGAGGGGGTTGAAATGGATCCTTTCAGAGCTTTTCTTCGAAGGTCTCGGGAACTCCTGGGTGCCTCCAAATAAAAGTTCTTACTGGAGTCTTAGGAAATAGCCAGGGCATGGGTCGCCAAGGTCTTCCAAAAGATGGCAGCTAAGTTAATTTGTACCAAAATCTCAGTGGTAGGTTTTTCTCCAGTTGAGTATTTACTAAGTGACCTATTCATCTCTTTAAACTCCGCCGAATTATTCTCATTGACCCAGAGGACTGTGCAGAATTACTGGGCCCCACACTCAGAGTTACTTCCCCATGGAATCTTACCTGCTGGAGCCGTGCTTCTAGGTCTTCCATACAGATTAAGATGCCAGGTGGGAGCATGTTAAAATTATCAATGCCAGATTTCGTCTCTACACCAATTGAATCAGTTTGTGCGTTAGAATCTGCAAATCCTTGTGTTTTCCAAATGGCTCCCCAAGGCTCTCCAGGAAAGCCAGCAGTATCAGCTACTTAATAGAAATGCAACTTTTCAGTGATACTGCAGACTACCTGATTCTGAAACTTGGACTCGAGCCCAGGTCTCTGATTTGACAAGCCTTTCAAGTGATTCTGTGAACACTGAAGTGTGAGAACCACAGTTAGGAGGCTCCCTAAGCTGATTCTTAGGAGACGAAACCTGTCATACTCCAGTACGTTCACATTTCAAATCCAAAAACATATCTAAAAGCAACATGTTACACAGAAAAGGAAGATTCTGGCTGAATTAAGTTACCAGGCCCGGATTCCCTCCCCAGTAATTCTCCCGGAACAGTTTATTGCTTGTAAATTACAGACCTTCTATCAATTCACTTCTGTGCTCTGGGGCCTAACATGGTGCTTGCAACATAATAGATGTTTGATAAGTGTTTATTGATTTCAAATGACTACTGAGATTAATGATTTGTTCCAGTTGCTATTATATCTACTTTTATTTCTTCCACAAAGTCACCTTATTAGCTAACAGGAGAACATGATTCAGTTATTCAAGTTGTCCAGGTAAGATTAAGTTCAACAATGACTTATTACCGCCCAATGCTATCCGACCCAAAGAAGACCCTGATGGAATAGGAGGAGTTAGAAAATTTTGAGGTGAGAAAAAGCAGAATTTGACAGGATTTCACTTTTCAAATTTGGGGCCTAAAGGAGAGTAGAAGAGCTCTAGACATCCATAGACTTCAGAAAAGGCACCACTGGGAAAAGGCATCTATGGAAGGGAGTTAAAGGAAGCTAGATAAGGAAGCTTAACATGATTACCCTGGGATCTTCTCTTTCTAAACAATCAGCCTCTGTTCTGCACTTTCCCATCCTCCTTACATATATCTAATCCTTCTATATCCTCTAAAAAAAAATGTAAACAGGAAACTTACAAAATGGTCACTTTCGTTTACTGGATAAAACATTGCCATCTTGCAAGTATTCAGCACAAATTAGGCATCCACTTTTGTTTGAGGTTAAAAAAATGGTTTTTAAAATGAAGTTGTTGATCTTTAAAGATAAAACTAAATAATTTCAAAATATTTGGGGTCAGAGAGATAGTATAGCAGGAAGGGCACTTTCCTTGCCCACCACTGTCACAGGATCCCTGGAGCAACATCAGTAGTGATCCCAGAGTACTGCCAGGTGTGGCACAGAACAAACAAACAAACAAATGCGGTGGTGTGTGATGCTGTCCTTTAAGATCCACAAAAACTTTCAGAATCAAAGATTATTCCCCACTGGACCCAATGAGGTAGCTCAAGGGGCTGAATAAGGCCTTTGAATGCAAAAGACCTGGCACCACATGGTCCCCCAAGGAAGCAACACCCAAACATTGCCAAGCGTGGCCTAAGATTGAGAGATAGAATTATACCCTATTGGTCCATCAATATTTTATAAAGGAAATAAAATTCATTAAAAGTTGGGGGCAGGGACTGGAGTGATAGCACAGCGGGTAGGGCGTTTGCCTTGCACACGGCCGACCCGGGTTCAATTCCCAGCATCCCATATGGTCCCCTGAGCACCACCAGGGGTAATTCCTGAGTTCATGAGCCAGGAGGAACCCCTTTGCATTGCCAGGTGTGGCCCAAAAACCAAAAAAAAAAGTTGGGGGCAGGGGACTAAAGAGGTAAAATAATTGCCTTGAATGTGCCCAGACCACCGACAGGAGTGATCCCTGAACATAAAGCCAGTCCTAAACACTGCTGTCTGGCCCATAAACATGACCAAAAAAAAAAAAAAAATAGTTTGTTTTTAACCTAATATGAAGGGTTTAAATTTAGAGAACTATTCATGAAAATCTAGAACAGCTTCCAATCTCTCTCTGCCCCTGTATCCTGCTTGATATAAGAATCCACTGAGAGAATTTTGAGAGAATTTAATTGCTAATGGGTAATCTAACAGAAAGAAAACTGGAGCAATAGCACAGCGGGTAGGGCGTTTGATTGCACGTGGCTGACCAGGATTCGATTCCCAGCATCCCATATGGTCCCCTAAGCACCGCCAAGAGTGATTCCTGAGTGCAAAGCCAGGAGTAACCCCTGAACATCACCAGGTGTGATCCAAAAAGCAAAAAAAAAAAAAAAAGAAAGAAAGAAAGAAAGAAAGAAAGAAAGAAAAGAAAAGAAATCTTCACATATCATGGAGTAATTCTCTTTTTTTTTCCCCAGGGGGAAGGAATATTGGACTATACTCATCAGTACTCAGGATTTACCTTTGGCTCTATGCTCAGAGATCTCGCCTCATGGGACTCAGGGGACCATATATGGTGCCAAAAATCATACTACAGTCAGCCAGGTGCAAAGCAGTGCCTTACATGCTGTACTATCTCTCCAGGCCCGGAATAATTTCTTTTATCAAAATAATTTTGTGGGAGATAAATAACAATTTAGAAACTGTGTTTCAGAATTACTATACTAGACCACAAGTAACGTTTTTTAAGACCCTGCTCACTTATACATACACTAGCTACTGTTTCTTATTGTTTACCAAAGTAAAGCAAAAACAAACAAGTCCAGGGCTGAAAGGGACAGAGGGGATTAGAAACTGAGTGACAGTGAGAAGGGAAAAGCACTTTCCCAAATCAAACTGTAAAACATGAAGCAATTATTTCAGCAGAACACTACCTACACATTAAAGATCAGTACTTCAGAGAAGTTACACTCCCAAGAGTTTCTTCTTGTCACCATAAGCATGACTCAGCGTTTGGAATGTAACTATGTTTACTGCCTTTGAGGGTGTCAAATAACTTCTGGTGCCACCTAATTCACTTCCGGTGAACCTATGACAATTTCAGTAGTCATGCTACCTAGCTCTGAAAAAACTCGCCCCATTTCATTAATTCCTGTCCTAACAAAGCCTAAATTTGCCTACCATTAACTTATCTTGCTTCTGTAATGTTGCCATTTGAATTTAGGTTGTTACTTATAGTCTAGTGTAACAAAACTAGCAATAAGTTACTCCCTTTCCAACCTTGAAATTATGCTACCTGATGGTAAAACTGTGAGGAACTAGAAAAATCATTCCTTATCCTTCTAGGTTTGGAAGCAATGAGATAAACACCAAATAAGTTGATGAGAGAAGGGGAAATATAATAATAACATGTCTGTTTCCTTTACATACAGAAGAAATTCAATAAAATACTAGATCAGTCCCTTGAAGTAATACACATAAGTGACTTCAGTTTCCACCTTAAGAATCTTTAGCAGAACATGGCGCTTGTGAAGAAGGGTTGGAGTTTGGGGTGGTGTTTAGAGGGGTGTCAGCCATGGAGAATCAACAGGAAAAGCTTAGAGAACAAACACATCTTGACCATACTACAAATTTAATTGCTTGTTTGCTAAAAGTTAAAGGAACTGGATCTGAAAAATAATACATGAATGCTCCTTACCTGGTATGATTTCTGGAACCACCTGGTCCCTAGGGATTAGTGAGATGTAGTCCTGGAGGCCTCCATCTCCATCACCCTAACACTTGCAGGCCAAGTAAGGTCTCATCCTCTGGCTGCCCAAGAATGGTTCAGTGCAGCCCCCCATCTCCTGAGCAACACTTG